TTATTTCAATGAACAAAAAATAATTAAATTGTGGAGGGCCCCCTGTTGGTCAGGGCCCCTAGAATTGTCATCACTTTTCCTCCCTCATACCGCGGCCCTGACCAGACCCATCCTTCAAATCTCGGGAAAAGAAGGACGCATTTGAAGGAGTCTTCGAATTCAGACAGGCCTTGTTGCCACGCTATGATGTAATTGGTCTACAAATCCGTCCTTCGAAGGATACAGACCCTGAATTCGGACACAGCAATGTGTTCTTATGCTACTTTTGTAATTTTGATTCAAAATAATGTTTTGTATAAAACTTTCTGCTATATTTTATTCCACACAAGAATTATTTCATGTTTGAAATATTTTTGATTTTTCACTTTTTTAAACATTTGTAGAACAATTTGTAGAACAGTTTTAAAACAAAATGACAACAGTTTTACAACAGCAATGATGAAACAATGTCAATATCCATTATGTGTGGACAAAAAAGAGGGGTGGAGGGGCGTGAGAAAGAGCATGTTTCTTGAATATAGCGAGCTAACCAAGCTAGCTAACACTGCTGTCTGTATTCTATTGTTCTTTGTGTATCACACATGTGAGTGTTTGTGTGTGCATTTATTTATCCATCCATCCATCCATCCATCCATCCATCCATCCATCCATCCATCTTCTTCCACTTATCCGGGGTCAGGTTACGGGGGTAACAGCCTAAGAAGGGAGGCCCAGACTTTCCTCTCCCCAGCCGCTTGGACCAGGCATTTTCAGGCCAGCAGTGAATATAGTCCCTCCAGCATGTCCTGGTCTTCCCCTGGGCCTCCACCTGGTTGGACGTGCCTGGAACACCTCACAAGGGAGGGGAGGTGTTCCAGGCACTCAACACATTCTGTCATTCAACACATTTTCTCTCTTTTGGTTTTCTCATCCAGGGTGTCAGACACACAGAGACACACACACAAATAATATACTCCTGATCAAAATCTTAAGACCAGTCAAAAAATTGCAAGAATTTGCATTTTGCACTATTGGATCTTAAGAAGGTTCTAAGTAGAGCTTCACAATGTTAAAAGAAGAAATCAGCGTAAGAGATAAAAACTTTTGAGCAGGGAATTAACTGAAAACTGCATTTACACTCAAACATGATTTTTTTCAGCTGATCAAAAGTTTAAGACCATAGCTCAAAAAACCCCCGAAACCCCTCCCAAAACAGAAATCAAAGTGTCAAAAAAAAAAAGGACTCAGTAATGAGTAGCTCCACCATTCTTGTTGATGACTTCAAACAATCGTTTAGGCATGCTTGATGCCAGTGTTTCCAGGAGGCTAGTGGGAACGTTGCTCCAAGTGTTGAACATAGCTTCACGAAGGGCATCCACTGTCTGGAACTGATGTCCATTTTTGTAAACTTCCCTTGCCATCCATCCCCAAATGTTCTCAATTGGGTTTAGATCCGGGGAACATGCAGGATGGTCCAAAAGAGTGATGTTATTCTCTTGGAAGAACTCCTTTGTCACGCAGGCATTGTGAACTGCAGCATTGTCCTGTTGAAAAACCCAATCATTACCACACAGACGAGGACCATCAGTCATGAGGGATGCCCGCTGCAACATCTCCACATAGCCAGCTGCTGTTTGACGGCCTTGCACAACCTGAAGCTCCATTGTTCCATTGAAGGAAAACGCACCCCAAATCATGATGGCTCCCCCAACACTGTGCTGTGTAGAAAACATCTCAGGTGGGATCTCCTTGTCATGCCAGTAACGTTGGAAGCCATCAGGACCATCAAGGTTAAATTTTTTCTCATCAGAGGAGACAACTTTCTTCCCCCTTTCAATGTCCCGTTTGGTGCACACTTGCAAAGTCCAAACGGGCAATTTTGTGGCGTTGAAGAAGACGTGGCCTTTGAAGACGTTTTTTGTTTCTGAAGCCCTTCTCTCGCAGATGGCGTCTGATGGTTATTGGTCTGCAGTCAGAACCAGTAATGGCCTTAATTTGGGTAGAGGATCGTCCCGTGTCTTGACGGACAGCCAATCGGATCCTGCGGCTCAGAGCTGGTGAAATTTTTTTGGGTCTACCACTTGACTTTTTTGTTCCATAACCCTCAGGATCATTTAAAAAATGCAAAATGACTGTCTTACTGCGTCCAACCTCAGCAGCGATGGCACGTTGTGAGAGGCCTTGCTTATGCAGCTCAACAATCCTACCACGTTCAAAGTCAGTGAGCTTTTTTGCTTTTGCCATCAGGAGGTCTTGACAGTGTAAAGACTTGACAGAAAATGACATGGAATCCAGATTTTTGCACAGCTTTTGGCTTTTAAAGACTATGGTCTTAAACATGATTTTTTCAGCTGATCAAAAGTTTGAGTGTAAATGCAGTTTTCAGAAAATTCCCTGCTCAAAAGTTCTTGTCTCTTGCACTGATTTTTTCCTTTAACATTGTGAAGCTCTACTTAGAACCTTCTTAAGATCCAATAGTGCAAAATGCAAATTCTTGCAATTTTGTGACTGGTCTTAAGATTTTGATCAGGAGTGTACAATATAATACAGGTGGTAAAGTTAACAAGCTTGGTTAGATAACTGGTGTTAGCTAACTTCGAAGAAGGCTAATATGTTGATTTGTGACAATAACACTGTCACAGTACTCACACATTATAAGTATTATCTTATAATACTTACATATAGGTATTATATGTAAGTATTATACATATTATATGTATAATACTTGCATATAAGTATTATAAGATAATACTTATATGTAAAAGTTCTTGCTGTGCAAAATATCATTATTGAGAGGTGACACTTAGGACTCAGTATATATGGGTCACAAAAACTGTGTTCCTAATAGTCACAGTTGGTAAGAAACAAAGATTCCCATTAAATTCCACATGAAATGAAAATAATGGGGCAGTAAACGAAAACATGCTATTTCTTAAAAATGTATAAAAGGTAAATTAAAGATTTGAATTGCATGATATCAATAAAATGTTTTTTGAGGAATATCTGGAATATGAAGTGAAGGAAACTTTTCACTACAAAGATATTACAAAAAGATTACCTTGGTGGGTCAAAAAAGACCCAATTACGCTTCAGAGGGTTAAGTATGCAGATGATACTACAAAGGTGGGTCTCATCAGTGACAACTGTAAACTGGCCTACATAGAGGAAGTAAAACATCTGGTGAACAATCTGAATGTCAACAAAGAACAACAAAGAAATTGCTGTCGATTTCAAGAAAAATCAACCAAATCACACCCACTCCTCATCAATGATGCTGCAGTAGAGCCGGTAAACAGCATTAAATTCCTGGGGATACAGATCAGACACTTTGACCTGGTCCCTCCAAAGCTCTGGTCTGGTGAATAGAGCTCACTTTTTACAGTGGATGAGATGATCTAACCTCCTCCCTCCCATCCTCACCGCTTCCTACAGAGGGAAAATAGAGAGCATACTGACCTGCAGCATCTCTGATGGTTTGGAGCATGCATCTAACTGGCAAAATATAGAGAGTGGTGAGGAATGAGAAAATCTGTCCAGGTGTCGTTGGCAAGAGTTGAATCTTTTGTAGAATTTCTGCTGCAGCATCACAAACGTGACATGTTTGTGTCAGGGTCTGGATTTTTTTCTGTTTTTTCCTTCTTTTTTTTCCGTTGGTTTAAGTTTTTGTTTTTTTGGAGCACCTGTCATTTCCCATGGCATCCTCTAGATGCCGCCAGATTCAGAGCCCCTGGGAAGCTGCGGTGGCAACCCCGTAGACACACCTGCAGCTTGTTTGGAGGACGTGGATTGAGGATATAAACAGCGGCTGAACGACTTCTCTGGGTGCGTTCACACTGCAGCCTGAAGTGACTCAATTCCGATTTTTTCGCAATTCCGATTTTTTTGCCGTTCACACTGCCAGAGAATGCGACCTGTATGCGTTCTGCAGTGTAAACGGGCAAACGACCTGAAAGTGACCCGCATGCGCAGTAGAGGGCGCAATGACTATATCTGTGATGTGAAGTGAATCGGGAAAAAAAATCATTTATTCTTCAAATTCACATTGTTTAGTCAAAAAGTTGTTTCTCCAGTCATTAATTATGTTATACTGCTGTTGATGGTTTGTCGTAACCATAGCAACCAAGTGACACCTCGTCCCCTTTTTCTGTTGCCGTCTTTTACTGCGGTATGTATTATGGTCAGATCTGTGATGTATTTATATGTATTGTAGTTATAAAATGTATTTTAAGCAAATGCATTTATATACCGGGTGTAATGGACAAATATTGCGATGTTTTGTATTTTTTAACCTATAATGTGTATTTTAAATTTGACATTTTACAAATTTTAACTGCTTATCGGGAACCATGTATTTTATTTAATGTGAAGGGGCAGAAGCTGGTGAAGTGATGTTAACCACCAACTTGATTTCCTCTCTTTTTAGAATAAATATGTTGAACCGTTGTAAACAACGTAAGGTCGACCTGAGACGAACATTAAACATGGAAATGGATGGAAACATGGATGGAAACATGGATGGAAATGGAACATATTTAGCGATCTTCCAGTTGTTGTCCAACCGCAGGCATCTTAATAACATACTCCTCTTAAGAAGATCGAAAAGAAAGAGAGCCAGGAGTTTGGCCATGGCATTTTGTGGGGCAGTGGCAGCAACATCGGTGCAGCGTAATGTGTGGGCTCGGAGTTGAAGTCAGGAGTGGTGGGAAACAGAAGTAATTGGCTTTGATGACATCAATTTCATCCAAAATTTTAGAGTGTCAAGAGAAACATTTATGTACATATGTGAGCGTCTATCTTTGACACTCACATGTGCAGCCACACATCTTCGGCAACCCATACCAGTGGGCAAAAGGGTTGCCGTCGGACTGTATTGGCTTGCAACAGGTGCGTGCTATCGCACTATAAGCAACCTCTTCGGTATTGCGAGGTCCACCGTCTGTTCCATAGTCCACAAGTTCTGCAAAGCAGTTCGTCATGTACTCATGCCGGAGTACATTAAAATGCCCCACGGAGCTGCTCTGCAGGAGGTCATCGCAGGTTTCAAAGAGAGATGGGGATTCCTGCAGTGCGGAGGAGCGATCGATGGCACCCATATCCCCATAGTTGCTCCAGAGAAGAATCCCAGTGATTATTTCAACCGCAAGGGATGGCACTCAGTCATTCTACAGGGAATAGTGGATCATCGTCTTTGGTAATAAATATTGATATTTGTTAATTTTAAAAATATTTAGTTTATAAACTAAAAAATGTCTTCCAACAGCTTTACCAACATTTATAGTGGGTGGCCAGGAAGCGTCCATGATGCCAGGGTCCTCAAAAATTCACATGTTTATGCACTGGCAGAGAAAGGGGATCTTTTTCCACCAGTAAGTATTTGGTATTGTGTTAGTAATAGAAGTTAGTTATAGTAATAGAAAATTTTGATTTTTTTTTTTCAATTTCTTTTTATTTTTTTTTTACTGTAAAATTTTAGAATACTGAAGAGATAATGGGTGTTCGAGTGCCTATAATGCTGCTAGGTGACCCAGGTGACCTTGTGAAATGCTAGTAAAAACCGCCCGGTTTCCGATAAGATCCCTCCAGTTTGGCCTGGATAGACCTATCCCCCCATATATTTATTAAGTCAGATACCTCGCTTTCTCTCCACTGACTGCTTTCCGCATTATCGTCCGCCATGGTTGTCATGGATACCAGGGTTGCCATGGTTGTTTTGTTCCTTCCTGCACTCAGAATAGTGGCGTTAGTCCTGGAAGTTAGGTCGCATTTGAATCGGATACGAATCGGATTTGGGTCACATTCTAAATAGAATCCGACCTGTGCTGTTCACACTGCCATGAAAAGATCGGATACAGGTCGCATTACGTCAAAAAAAATCGGAATTGAGTCACTTCAGGCTGCAGTGTGAACGCACCCTCAGATGTCTCCTCGTTGTCCCCGTCTGCACCGTCTGCCCCGGGGCTCAGAGTGAGTCTATGATCCTCGCTGTTGTGAGTTACCTTCCTTGTGTGTCCTCCTCGACGCTGCTGGTGTTACCAGTCAGACGCCACTCCTTGTGTGCTCGCCTTCCCCCTGTCATCGGTCCGTCTCCAGTGGATTTCCCTTCAGGACGCTAGAGGATCTGTCAGTCTGACCCGAACCCATCTGGAGAAAGGAAACAACTGGACCAAGTCGAACTCTGCTTGTTCCGCCTTAAACAAACCTGTCCGCCCTCCAACGAAGCTCCATTATCCAGCGCTCTGTTTTCAAGTACTCACCTTCAAACCAAGTAAGAATCAGTTCGACTCATTCCTGGAAATTACTCGCCTTTCCTCGCTAATCCTTGTCTCTCGTTGACAGTAAGACGACCCGGTCACCTGCTCCAGTATTCTTCCCCTTCTTTTCCCTTTCCCTGGAATCAATAAACTTATCATTGTTCATTTATCTGCCTCTCCTGATTGTGTTCTTGCATGTGGGTTAGAAAGCTTAATACCAACATGACAGGTCAGGTTAGAGGTTTGACTTGTATGTCAGTGTTTTCATTGTTCACATGAATACAGGAGGGTGACACTTTCTCTCTTGAACCAGTTTTAAAAATGACATTTAGGGTCAACTAAAATGGTATGGTCACTGGAGTTAAAACGGCTAAAAGTTTTCCTGTTTTAGAAAAACATCCCCATGTTTATGGTGCCTTGGAAAGGTCAGGGAAAAGGCCAAGGAACCTGCCAGACCGTTTAGTCTGCTCTTTCAGTGCGTTCAAATGGCTTGCCTCGCTTCCTTCCATGGGATAATTTACTAGCAACTGGAGTGAAATTAGCTCCCATAGACTACACTCATTGAGTCGTGCTCCTTGTTTTCACAACGTGCTCTTGGAATTTTCCCAGGTTAAAATTTTGTGACAAGTCACAGAGATAATGTTCTTTTCTATCTATATTGGCTAAGTCAGCCGGTCAAAACCTGTTTCTTTCTTCAAAGTCAAGCACCATGATTATTTACACATATTGGAGAACTTTGAGGCAACACATTAATTGAATGTCCACCACATCTTGTAGGGTTTACTTTATGCTAAATATTCTATTTAGCATAAAGGCAATTTTGAAGGTAATTTTATGTATTGTTATTGCTAAACTAAAATGCCCAGCATGGGAAAAATGGGAGGATCTCAAGTTATCTCGACAAAGAGCTCGGCCAATCACAGAGATCCTTCCACCCTCAGCATGGTCTGTTCTCCCTGCTGCCTTCTGGCTAAAAGTTCAGCAGCTTCAAATGCAGAACAACCAGGTTCCACAATAACTTCATCCAACATACTACTAAATTCACATTTATCTTTTTATTGTATATATATTTGAAACTTCTTATTATTTATTAACTTATTTAATAAACTTATTGTACAACAAATTTTTGCTCAATATGTATGTTTTAAATGTACAGTTAAATGACAATAAAGTCTGTCTATGCCTCATTAGGTTGTCATTGCCGCCATATTAACCTGACCACCAGATGGCACAAACTTCATATCACATTTCAGAAAGACAGCAAATAACATTTCAAAAGTGACTAATATATTCTCCAACATACTGTTACAGTTTTCAGCTGCTTTATGCTCTTACAGGTGTCACTAGCCTGATAACAGGTTCAATGAGCAGAGAGACTGAGAAAGCTTCCACGTGAAAACCAGTTCTAGTCAACTGCCACCTCTTAGCATAAATTAGGGAATATGGGCAGGTGGGTCAGTTGTGTTGGGGCTATTGGTAATCTTCCTAGTGCTTGTGGCAGTGGGGACCTTCCCCCACCCACCTCAATACTACTTTTGACTGAGCTTATTTAGTTGCTCTAGTAAAGTATGAAACGCTTGTTGCATTTGCAAGAAACAGAGTAATTTATACAGCTTCAATGTGTGCTTCCACTGTGGGTCAGGCAGCTGCTCCATAATAAATGACCAATACTAACAAAAAATGAAGATTTGTCATCAAAGGTTATCAGGAATAGAAGACTTTTAAAAAAGATGAAGGTGAGCTCTAGCACCAGAGCAAACAGGGTTGGGTTTATCTGTCCTTATTTTTCAGTGGTCCAGGTTTATTGAAACCATATTGCCGAGCTTTAGTCATACCACTTTGTCCTTTATTACTTTGATAAATATTTGGAAAATATGACAAAGTAAATCATATGATTCCTTTATGAATATAGAATTGTTAAATAAAATAAATAGGAAAACGCAAATACAAATAGTTTTCAGTTTATTTCAAAGTACTCTCCATCTATTTCACCTTATGAAAGAAGCAGTTTACTTGTAGAGCTGGCATGTCTGTCTTGCCAGTAAAACTTTTCCTTTTATTTAGACTTTTTTTCTTCTTCTTCTTCCCCATCTAATCTGAAACCAGTCATTCCTTATCTCATAACGTTTGTAAGTGCCAGGCATCCGTCTAATATACTGTTGCATATTATTCTTGCAGCCTTTGGCTTATGCAGTTGAGATGAGTGAAGATGAAGGTGTGAATTCTAGCTTATATCTGAGTAAACAGAAGCCATATTTTTCTTTATTGTGTGCAGGGAGCGCTTCTTCACATTTTTGCAAGCTCTCTCTTCATATTTGGAAGGCGAGATAAAGGTAAACTTACTAATGTCAACAGGAAGGAGGCAGCATACCCTGATACTAGACACACATACTCTTTTTTAAACTCCAGAAACGTCCACCTTTTTTAATATTGCATATTGTGTGTTTCTTGGGTTTCTTTTATAAGGTTAGTTTAGCTTTCTCTGGAGGTACAATGTGTTGAAACTTCTCTTCTAAATGGATATGTTAACTAAATATATATAATCAAAAAACAAAAAATAACCTAAAACTTGAAAATATTTATTTGAAATATTTTTTTAAATACACTGAAAGACCTCTCTAAAAAGTAGTCTATGCCAGTTGTTTGGGAAGTATCAGACTTGACACAAGGTGTCTTTGCTTTCTTACTCTGATTTTGAAATAAGAAAGCAAATAGTTATGTTTAACACATATTTTTCAAACATCCTGAGGCCATTTATAACACCTGTTTGGATACCTAACTGAAACAAAAAAAAAAACAAGAGACTAAAATTTTTAAACTAGTAAAACCTGATCCTCCAACCCAACACCAATCATCCAACCAAACTGTGGCGATCTGTGTTTCTGTGTATTTATTTCTTGGTTTTTCTGTGTCCTGTTCCCCTGTGAGTCTTGTCCTCCCTGTTGATTGATCCCAGCTGTGTCTAGTTCCCTGTTTACCCTCTCTGTGCACCTGTTGTCTTTGTCTCTTGTCGGGTCCTCGTCGTGTCATACCAGTCTGTTCGTGCGTCTCTGCCAGTTTCCTTGTTCCTGTGTTCCTGAGTATTAATCATTAAATACCTTCTATATGTCAGCCTGGGCTCATCTACGTCTTCCTCAACACCAAATCATGACAGAAACGAACAAACAAACAAACAATCAAACGTGAGAGGAAATAGCTTAGACATAGCTTGGGTAAAGATGACTCAAGGTCGAGTTGATTGTGGGAGATTGAACATTTTTCGGAAGTGCAGAAAGTGAGTTCAGTCGACTATCAAATCACGTAGTCTGGCTGGAGTCTCAACCACAGACTGTCCACAGACAGTGCTCACAGGGTGTGTGGCTCACAGACTACACACACTAGTGTGCATTCTGGGAATGCATGCAAAAACAATGCATTCCCAGAGTATATGGGAGCTTTCAGTATTAGCAGAATATGATAATAAACCTTTGAAAGGATTAGAAGAGTTTTTTTTTCTTTAATATTAAGTAGTGCAGTTTAAATTATTGGAGCATAACTTCACTGCTGGTGAAAAACAGAGCTGCTCTTGTTGGTATTTGTTATATTTCCATTGATGTAAGGGTATTTGTGTATTTTGTATGGAGAACATGTTTACAATATTTCTGATAGCATCAAAATGGCTGGCTGGAGTCAGCTCTTATCTACGCTATCTGTTCTGGGATGATCTATACATTTTATTTGGTTGACAATGTTGATATATTGGGAATGCATTGTTTTTGCTCTACCTATAAGAACACTGTTCAGACAGATTCCTTGAGGAGAAATGGGATTATTAGCATTTGATTGTTCATTATTTTACAGAAGCTTTGTGAAGAAACAGAAAAACCTCTAAAGTCTGATGGTTAATTAGAGCTAATGGTCGTCGGGGCACAAACACACACGCACACATTTTTAATGGGGCTCAATACATCCTCATTCCTACAGCTTCTTAATGTTTTGGTTGGGTTTTGTCTATCTCTTAATGTGCTTCTTTTCCACTGACAAGTATATTCCTCCTGATGTTGTAGCCAATTACCAAACTGCTAGATGCCTTAATTGATTCATGGCAATAGAGCTGAATGTTTGTGTGTATCAGAGTAGTCTAATTACCAAATCTCAAAATGAATGTCAATGTGTGTCATAGTAGGGGTATCAGCACAACACTGGTGGTGGCAGCACGTAAACCTGGGACAGAGTGAGTTGCTGACAGGCCTCATTAACCTCTTCTCGGTGCTCAGGGCTGTGTGTGACTTCAGCTAATCTGTGAATATCTGTGTGTGTGGAGCAGTGTAAAGAGACTTGACACATGTACTTAGAGACCTGCTCAGACAAACACCATATATGATTTTAGGTGTGGTGTGTGTGATTTCCATGGGTAGTTTGTATATTGCATACAGCTGTATAGCAACAAACAGATACAATATTGGTGACCAGGGCTGGAGAGTAGGGTTGTTTGAAAAAACAGATGACCTTTGTCCACAATCTAAGGACTTTGTAATGAGGATGATACCATGCCCCTTAATCATACTCAGTCTGCATCAGTGTAAGTTCTACACCATGTGCTGATACATGGCACCTCTAATGGTGATGTGGAGGAGTACTGCTTCAAGTTGTGGAGGACTGGAGAGGTAAAGCTTGAACAATCTGTTTCAGATGAAATAGTGAAGAAATTGAGGAACAGGTAGAACCTCCCTAATCAAACCAGACTGACTTATTATTAACACTTTAAAAAAATCTCATGATCTACTTTTGGTCAAAAAGTTGGAACGTGTCGTAGTGTGGTAATGGTAATTCTGAGTTTTATAACTTTATCCTATATGTCAGAAGAAATGCATTAATCATGATTTGTTTTGCTGATTTCTGCTTTGATGTTCTAATACCACTTTTAGCAAAATTAACTGCTGTATAGCAGTTAAGTTTATGTATAATCTATATAATGTCTACATTAATTCGACAGCACAAAAAGTGAGTAAATGTGTTTGATTAGTTTTTAATTCACAACAAATTTTTGTCTTAAGGCACTTTACAAAATAAACATTCATATATTCCAATCAATCCAAGTTATCAAGCAATTAATTATTCAAAGTAGTTTAATAGTTTCTAAGAAAACCAAGCAGTTTGCATCAAGTCATTCACTCCTGGAGCATGTAA